ATTTTGAGGTTTGTATTTTTTTTATAAATCGAAGGGAATTTGAGGTGGTACTCTGGAGACCATTAGGTGATTTGATATAGTATGACCCAGATTCACTTTAAAGTTCACATAAATACAGACATGTATATACATACACATACAAATATCTTTACATACATGGCCTTACATTCCTAAGTTGGCATTTTAAAACTTAAAGTCTGCATTACAATGCATTGTAATGCAGACTTTAAGTTTTAGACAGGAGAAACAGTCTGTCAATCTGGATCAGAAAGAAAGAGAAAAACTTCTAAAAGAGAAGATAGACGCATTGTCCAAGCTGCCCTTTAAAATCGTCGTATTTCTACAGATGGGATAAAAGCAGAAACTGGTATTACCAATATTTCTGGAAAAACCATAATTTTTCATTTACATGAGTGTAAAAATTTAGATTCTCATTGGGCTATCAAAAAATCTCTTTTATCAAAGATCAAAATTTCACGTAGGCTTGAATGGTGCAGTGAGCATAAAGACTGGACAATTACCCAATGGAGACAAGTTGTTTGGTCAGATAAGTCTTCTTTTAGCTTTAGATGCAATCGAAGATTTCGTGTTTGGAGGCGTAGTAATGTATCACCATGAATGTATAAAAGCCACAGTTAAGCATCAAAAAAAGATTAATGTCTGGGGATGCTTTGCCGTGCATGCTACAGGAAGGATTCATAAAATTAAAGATAATATGGATCAACACCAGTACCATAGTATCCTTGTTCATAATGCAAAGCCAAGTTGCTTGGAATTATTTCCAGATGGTAACTATCTATTTCAACAAGATAATGATCCAATTGAAAACCTATGGTCAATGCTCAAAGATAAAATTTAAAGAAGAATGTGTAATGATGAAGTTTGTCTTTTTAATTGCGTAAAAGAGGCATGGAATAGCTTAGAACCATTGTTATTAACAAACCTTTTTGACAGTATGCCTAAAAGAATCAAAGCAGTCTTAGCTGCAAAAGGTGCTATGACCAAGTACTAGATTTTGAGATTTTGTTTCAAATAAAATGACTCTTTAAATATAATAATAGAATACAATAATTCTGCCAACAATTATTTTGTACTATGTATATTTAGTAATACTTTTGTATTTATGAAATCATCATTACATTATAAAATGTGTCTTTTAATGTTTTAATGTTGATTTTCTTCGAAAAAACATTTTGGTGTTTTTTTTTTTGTCTTTTTAGATATGTGTGTATACATTTTATATATACGTGTTAAAATCATGATATTTATATATTAATACTTTAAATAAAATCACTCATTAAATTTGTTTTCTGTATATTTTACATATTTCTTGACTGGTTTTTTTTCGGCCCATACTGTATATATATATATATATATATATATATATATATATATATATATATATACAGGCCTTGCGATGAATAAGAACTGCGCGACGCATAAGCACGACGTGATTTTTGACGTCATTAAATTCTTTTTATTTGCTTTTCATATTTATCGACATTAACTGCAGCAATTTACTTAATTACCGCAAAACTACTTTAAATCGTTTATGGAGAAATGTTATTATTTAAAAATGTTTTGGAATGTTTCGTTTTTTAAAATGTAAAAACATTTGTTTATTTTCTCGACGTTTGTCACGTTTTGTCTATACTAAATGAATAAAAAACATTATAACTTAAATTTAAAAAAGATTATAAAATATGCTAATATTTGATTTTTTTTTTCTTAAATATGTAATTTAAATAATTATTTTTTCTTTTTAAAAAGTCAGCGAGTAATAAACTGGAAATTTTAATATTGTGCGATTAAAAACTGTGCAATAGCTAATATTTTTACAAGCGATTTTATATAATATTTGTTTATTTATTTTTATTTATTTTCATAAAGCGGTTATTAAGCACAATCACTCGTATTACTAAAAAACTTTAATGAACGTTTTAAATAGATTTTTAATGTTAACAAGGAACTTTATTTCAAGTAATATAAAATAAAAAGTTAGAATTAAAATTTTATAGGTATAAAAGAAATATTTCAGCGAAAAAATTATTCTTAAAAATTATTATTAAAAATTATTCGAAAAACTATTGACGTTTTATTTTTCAGCAGCTGTTCTTGAGCACGCTTCGTTTAGTTTCGGTAACTTTTAACATAAAAGCGGTCAGTAATTTTTTTGAGTTACTTTTTACAAAAATTTTAATAACTGTACTTTTTTATTGAATCAAGACGTTTTAATATTAATCCTTTTTTTTTTTTTATTTTTGCTCACCAATTTTTAAAATGTTTCCTCGAAATTACTCTTAAATACTTTAAATACGTCTAACAGTTAATAAGTATTTTTAAATCATTTTTTTTTTAACCTAACAAACCCCCGTAAAATTATTATTTAAGTTTAAAATCTAAAACTAAAAGAAAGTATTTTTGTTCAATTTTATCGACAACTTTGCTATTGCTGAATAATTTTATTAAAATGTTAGCTTAAAAGATTTAAGCTTTTTTTTTTAATCTGAATTTTTTCTACTTGTAAATAATGTAAAGCGTATTTAATGTTTTTTTAATTCAAACTTTTATTTCAACTGCGTGCGGTTTTAATAAAATACTTTATTAAATGTTAAAATAAAATCGTAAATTACTTCATTAAAATTCCGCTCAAAAATATCTTTAAATATACTCAAACAAAAAATTTTTTGCTCGACGCAAATAGCCCTAGCTACACGCAAAATCGCTCTTGGACGACGTAAAATTCACATCGCCCGACGCTTTATCGCAAGGCCTGTATATATATATATATATATATATATATATATATATATATAAATATAAATATATATATTATTAGACTTAGCGAAACTCCACTAAAAACATAATTTTTTCTCTTTCATTATTATTTACTTTGGTAATGTTGCCAAATTTGTTATTTCATTAATAACAATATTGCTCATATCTTTTATAATCATTCTTACCATATGTTGGTAGTTTGAACAAGATGTTGCCTGGAATGGTTGTGTGAAGTGTTTCTTTCTACAAAAAAATTATTGGAATACCTCGTTATAAAGATTATTATGTGATGAACATTGTATATTTTATTAATCACAAAGGTATGTATATCTTAATACTTAAATTTTTTAAACAAAAATATATAAAAAATTTTTTTTATGTTTAAGTACATAGTCTTATTAAATATTATCTTCTTTTTTTAGCAATGGGTATGGCTTGTAATATTTCTCAACAAAAACTAGGTGAAATTTGTGGATTATTAAAAAGTAAAAGCATTTCACAATATTAGATAGCTGAGATACTCAACATTTCTCAAAGTAAAGTGAAGAGAGTGAAGCAAAAACTTTATTTTGACATTTTACAACCTGCTTGTAAAGGTGTTTGTGGCAGAAAAAGGTTAACAACACCCAGGACTGACAGAAAAGTTAGGGATATTTGTCTACAACAAAGAAAACACCCTGTCAACTTATTGACCAAGATAGTCAATGAACAGGGAGTTGATATTTTCCAACAGTCCAGAGACGTCTTAAAAAATTTGCTTTAACTTCACATTGGCCAGCATGTAAACCAAAGTTAACATCCATTATGGTGAAGAAATGTCTAAACTGGGCAAAAATTAAAACTTCACAGAGGATGACTATAAAAAAGTAATGCTGAATAAAAATCTTTAATTGTAAAGTTTAACTTGATTTTGGTATCTTTTTAAACCTTATTTGTGTATGTTTTAGATTTTTTTTCAGATTAAAGCTTTTGTCAGGTCCTGAGTGACAAATTTAACTTTGTTAGAAGAAGAATGGGTGAAAAATTTCACTCAGATTGCATTGTGCCAACCGTAAAGCATCCTACATCTGTCATGGTGTGGTCGATAATTAATTTTCAAGCTACTGGAAGGCTGCATATAATAAAAGGGAAAAAGAGACAAGATCAGTACCAGGAAATTCTTAATGATAGATTAATACCACAGTTGGCACAATGGTTCCCAAATGAAGAAAAATACATTTTTATGCCAGATGGGGCACCATGTTACAAGGCTAAAACCATTACAAAATTTCTGAAAGACAAAAACATTGATGTCTTGGATTGGCTTGGAAATTTCTGAAAGACAAAAACATTGATGTCTGGGATTGGCTTGGAAATTTCTGAAAGACAAAAACATTGATGTCTTGGATTGGAAAATCTGATTGAGAATGTTTGGGAGCTGCTTAAGCGGAAAGTGCCAAAAGTACAATAACAATGAAGCAGGATTTGATTGAAAAACTAGTATTTGTGTAGAACCACAATGAAGAGCTGCAAACAATGATTAAAAAGTGTATTTTGAGTATGCCACGGCGCATACAAAGCATAATTGAGCAAAGGGACATCAAACAAAATATTAGCTATTTAATTCTTTCATGATTTTTAAAAATTATTTTCTATTATTATTTGTTAAATATTTGTATTTGTTTTTGAAAAAACTTTAATATATGTATTTGTTTTTGAAAAAACATTGATTTTTATTTATCCATAGTAAAATGTCCTTAAATGATAAAAAATTGTTCACCAAAATCCTATTTACTACGTAATTTTTTTTTTTTTTTTTTGTAAAGTCTAATAATATGGCAAGCCACTGTATTTCCTTATAATTTATTTTTTAAAACAATCTTATACTTAATATAATCTTTTATTTGTATTTCAGTACTTGCATAAGATCATAAATTATTTTTATGAATATCTTTCTGATAACTGATAGCATTTATTTATAATTTGTTTAATTTTTATTAAAAATAGTTTATTAAATAGGTGAAAATAAAAAACAAACAAAAATAAAAAATTGTGATGAACAAATAAAAGAATATGTTAAGTATAAGAATATTTTAAGTAATAAATTATAAAGAAGTATAATCTTTTTCATATACCATATTTAGGTTTCAATAGTAATTTTTTTGAATGATTTTTAACGCAGTTTAAAATTAGATCTTATTACAATGCTGTGTTTAAAATATATGAAACAATTTTTTTATTAGGCTTCTGTTGTTGATGAAACAGATGTAAATTTATGGCTAACAATTGCTTCTATAGCTAAGAAAGTTCTCAACATACGATTGGAAAGGTTTGCTTATGAAAAGGTGAATATAAAATAGTTACAATATTTTAATTCATGGATTTTATTGGTTGCTTGAATTTTTAACACTTTACATAAAATGAGAAACTATTTTTTTAATTCATTTATTCAATAATCAAAATTGTCATAATTTTTTTATTTACTTATTATCACAAATTTTCAAAATTATAATTTAAAGTGTAAAAGAAAAAAATTTACTATTTCATCAATTTTGTTATGATTTTTACAGAATAAGGGATTGTCCGTAAATTATGTAATGTTAAATTTAACAAAATAGCGCTTTAAATTTAATCAAAATGGCTGCACAAAAGAGCAAATCATTTTTATTTTTTTTTTACATAAATTTAGAGTTGAGTAAATATGGACAATCCCTAAAGTGTTTTTGCAAGGAGTTATATTTCAGCATCAAATTCATATTCAATGCTGCTAAATGTTATTGTATTTTACAGAAAATTTATGGTAACCATACACTAGCAGAGCAAATGTGTTCGCAAATGAAAGCAAATGTGAGCAAAAATGTGAGCAAATGTGAGCAAAAAGTAGTTTGCATGGTTCATAGTTGGTGATTTTAGAAGTTGGTGATTCAGAAGACAAAGGTTGACCTAGACACTCAAAATATTTTGAAGTCATTGATTCAGTGGCACAACATTCACTTTCCGTGAATGTCAGTGCCTCGGAGTTCTTTCCTGCTTTTATATTATCTTGATTCATACAGTTTACAGTTTTCAAGACTTTTGTCAATTATTTTTCTGGTTTTTAGTTTTTTTTTTGTTTCTTTTTTCTTTTCTTTGCTCCTAAGTTAATTAGTAGTTGCTTGCATACTTGTTTGGAGTGAATTAATTTAAAAAAGATAATATGAGTTTGTTAAAATAATAAATTACAACATTAAGTTAAATACTAAAAAATCAAATTCTACCCTGTTGTATAGTCCAAATATTTCTCCATCTAACTACTATATCTTCTCATTATGAGTGAGTTCTCATTATGATTTTCATTAAACCAATTCAAAACTTGGGTTAACTCCTTTTAATTCATTGAACCAATACAAAACTTGAGTTAACTCCTGGATTGTCTCAAAAGAAGTTAATTTACCTGATTTAATAAAATATTGTTGTGTTGAAACATTATTTTATAATTTTTGTTCATATTTTAAGTTTCATTTAAATTTAGGGTTTAATATGCAGCCCTAACAATTGGCCTTGTCTGGACAATCTAATCAGTACACTGTATATTTTGGGGGATTATGCAGGTAATTATCATTTTTTCAATGTTGAATAGATATAACTGTTGATTTAAGTTTAAGTTTTGAGTCTTATATTTTTGCTCCTAATTTTTTTAGTTTAACTTGATAAGCTTTTTTATCTTTTTTTATCTTATACTATTTAAAGTTAAATTAAAATTTTTTTTTTTTTAATTTTTTCAAGTTTAAACCTAATGTAGAAAAAAAAAAGATACAGAAGCAAAGTATATTTATAATATATAATAAAAATATAATATTGCACTTGTTTTACATTTTTATGTTGGTATTTATGTATTAAAGTTATGGCACATCTCACATTCTTATACACAATTTAAATTTAAAAAAAACTATTTTTTTTTAGTAATAATTAAAAATATTTAAATTCAAATTTTAAAAATATTTTAATATTTATATAATTTATAAATATAACAAAAAAAATGTTATAAGTTTAAAAATCACCACTAAAACGTTATTTGACATAAAACAAGTTATCATTATTGACCATTTTTGAAGCATGTTAATACAGCTTTGTTTTGTCTGTGTGTGGTAACCATTACATTATAATATTGTTTATATATATATATATATATATATATATATATATATATATATATATATATATATATATATATATATATATATATATTTATATATATTTTTCCTTATTAAAAATTGTAATAAAATGTTTTTTATTGTGGCATAAACTGTACTGTCGGTAGGTTATATGATTAGCGTAATTTCACTTAGATTTTATATGATAACTCTATTTGATAACCAATCATAGTGTAAAAGTTATCCTCAATTGACAGCAATCTTCTTTATTTCCTGTAACTTTAGGGATTCCTAAATGTTATAAAACTTATGGTCCTATATTTTTTAATTTACATTAATGAGCTCCCAGCAATTCTCATATCTTAGGTGGCATTGTTTGCTGATTATACTACCATTTATTCTTGTTTTAGTAAGAGGTTAACACTTGCTGATTGCTTGGAACAATTTGAGGCATTTGAACTTGAAAAGAATTTGGCATTTCAGCTTGAAAAAGATTTCACTTCTGCTACAGCATGGGCAGCATGCTACAATTCTGCTACAGCATGGGGCAGCAGTGTCTGGTGAACTTTAACTCAGATAAAAATCAATTTTTTCAGCTAATTGTTATTGCAACAGTCTAGGTTTTGTTGTTTTCATGAACAGTACTGTACTCGATGAGTCATCTACCCTTTGTTTTCTAGGATTAAATCTTTCTTCTAATCTTTCTTGGAAACCATATATCAAATACATTGCAAAATTAGCATATGCATTTTGCATATGTTATTTATAGCATATGCAGCATAAAGAGATGCAGTATTAAATATTAACACAGTCATCATTAGTATTAAATATTAACAGAGAAGGTTTTAAGGATGGGGATTTAATTTTATATAAAAAATTTGAAAAAGTCAGTTAAAAATTAAATATGCAAAAATATTGAACATCTAAAATTGTATTAAACCTCCATTTTGATTGGAACACCGTTTTTAATCTGCACAAATAAGCTTTTTTAGACTAACAATATCAAATGATAATAACAATACTTTTATAACATACTTATTTACTATAAATCTTTGTTGTGAGTTTTCATTAAAAAAAAGCGATAATTTTATTTTAAATTATGTTTTTTTATGTATTTTTTTATTTACAAAGTTCAGTAAGTGTTATGAAACAAAAATTAAAACACTAAAAATATATTTATTTAATTGACCAATTAACAGTTGACCCCATCAATTCTATGCTTTAGCTGGTCAAGTTGATTGCTTACCTTTGATTTTTTATTTTGTACACTTATTTTGTATGTTTTAGTAGGAAAGGCAAGCTATAGCTCTCACTTGTGGCCATGCTCCCCTAAACTGGTTTATACAAGCTTTTAATGGCTGGCTCTAATGTAAAAAATTAAGAAACTTTTTTGATACATTAACTTCATTTAAGTTTTTTTAAACTGTAGGTTTTAAAATTCAGCAGGAATAAATTATATTTTATAAACATAAAATAATTAAAAATATTTTTTTTTATCTTCAGCAAAACTGTTGTTGCACTAAAAAATTTGATTATAGCAATGCTAAGATCTTTAAATTATTATTATGTCACATGCTCTTTGCATAGAAAGTTTGAAAGTTGAGTAAATCACTTCTGAATAAATTTTTCTAATGTTTTCAAAATATTTTTACAATAGTAAATGTAAATATATATATATATATATATATATATATATATATATATATATATATATATATATATATATATATATATATATATATATACATATATATATTTAAAATATAATGCTTAAAACAACAGCTGCTTACTAACTATATTTTTCTATACTTTGTTATACAGTTCTATATTTTATTATACATATAATGTAAAATAACATCAATTGAATAGTTTGAATAGTTTTTTAATAGTGTTGATGATAAAAGTCATATTAGCTTAGATTTTTATAATATACTAGCAAAAGAGTTTAAAACTGGTCTCAAGGAGTTAATATGTCAAATAAATGTTAACTCTATCTGTTAAACTTTTTTGCAACAATTTTTCTGCAATTAACTAATCTTTAAAACTTGTAATGAAGCTATTTTTAATACCAACTGATTATTATAAACTATGACATAAATTTTAGCAAACAAAAATTAGAAAGGGAGGAGGATAGAGTCATGGCAAATTAATAACTATCATTATAACATTTTAATAAAGCGTTTCATTTTAAGACTTCTGTGTGAGTTTTTGTAGCTCAGCAGTTAGCTGCAAGGTTTTAGCAGCTCAGCAGTTAGCTGCAAGGTCTTAGTAGCTCAGCAGTTAGCTGCGAAGTTTTAGTACCTCAGCAGTTAGCTGCGAAGTTTTAGTAGCTCAGCAGTTAGCTGCAAGGTCTTAGTAGCTCAGCAGTTAGCTGCGAAGTTTTAGTAGCTCAGCAGTTAGCTGCGAAGTTTTAGTAGCTCAGCAGTTAGCTGCAAAGTTTTAGTAGCTCAATAGTTAGCTGCGAAGTTTTAGTAGCTCAGCAGTTAGCTGCGAAGTTTTAGTCAAATCAAATCTTCCATACTTTTCTTTATATATACTTGAATAAGAAAATATTTTTTGTGTTTTTTTTTAATTTTGTTCAATTTATAAAATACATTAATGTAAAAATGTAAAAATTTTTAAAATTCATTAATATAAAAATTGTTTAAAAAGTTTTAAAAGTTTTCTTATTTTATAAATAATATATAATATATGTGATTTTTATGTATACAATCCGCATACTCAACATACCTAATGTCAGTAGTACTGACTTTAATACTTGCAGGTATTTGTGCATAATGCTATATAAGTGAATTTTTTACATTTGCATAGGGGAGAAGAAGGGAGTTTAGGAAAGGGGTAGTTTTAGACAACGTGAACAATTCAAAAAGTACAAACTTGTCAACCAAGTTAAATATATAAGTTGATTGGACATAAGCGTCACAGGATCTTTTACATGAAGGCAGTTAAAGAGCTTCTTTACAAACGTTTTATGATTTTTGATAGTTTTTCTAATTTTTTTAATTCTTAAGCGTAAGGATTTACAATTATTCTAACACTTGGTAGAGGTAGGGATATGTTCTGCAATGTAAAAAAAAAGAATTTAACAGTAAAACATAATTCTTCACAAAAATTATGTGGAATGTTTCCTGAGATCAGGGTTGAGGCAGCATTGAGCAATTTTCATAGGGCATGTTTAGGACAAGTTTGCCATTTTTAAACTTAGTCTAAGTTTATTTGAAGATAAGTTTGCCTAATAACAAACTTATCTTCTATATAATAACAAACTTATCTTCTATATAATAACAAACTTATCTTCAAATAAAATTAGACTAAGTTTAAAAATTTTGGTTAATTTTTGAAGAAAAAATTAGGGTTTAATATTTTTTACTTTTATGATTTACAAAGTAAGTAGTCGGTGCCAAAATGTTATGAACTTTATTCTTTCTTTTTGAACTACAAACTTTCATGTTTATACCTGTTTTACATTCACACTATTTTTTTATGAGAGATTTTTATTTTTAGCTGTATGATATACAAGAAAACTGTTTAACAATTTTGAGATCTTTATAAAATCTGTTACTTTCAATGATTTTGTTATTGTAGATAATTACTCTTAATTAAAAAAAAATTTTAAGAATCATTTCTTGTCTTTTTATTATATTTCCTAAGCTGCCCCAACAATATCCAAATCCCTCATTTGTTGAGTAGTTTTGGACAATGAGTAACTTTGTTTTGCAGATTAAAAAAAAAAATTATAATTTATTTGAATTAGCTCAAGTTTGCTTTTTTTTAAAGAATTAATAGCTAAATCATCTTTTTCAGCAAAAATTTTAACTTTTTGTCAAACGGTATGAAAGCTGTAATATCTTTTTTAAAAAGTGTCCTAATGTTCCCCCTCTTCCCTATTACATATCTTTATTATTAAAAATTCTTAATATTTCTATTTATTTGTAGTGTATTTAATTGTCATTTTTTTGTACTTTTATTTTTTTTTGTGAGAAATTATATTGGTTTTCAAATATATTTTTTTATAAAATGCAATGCAATGCAATGCTGCTATGCAATATAGTTGCGTGATAAAATGTTTATAAAATAGTTTGTTTTTCTGTTAGATGTATTTTCAGTAGCTCAGTTGTGTAGTTGTGACATATCTTTGCGGCCGTGGCGCAGTGGTTACAGCGCTTGCTTTATAAGCAGGAGATCCATGTTCGAAACGAGCTCTGGACATATTTTCACGTCACGGTAAGGAAGGAGGCATGAACTTCCTGGTTAATGCACTTCCACGGTGCTCTGTGACAAGACCATTAGGTCTTCTTGGGGCACCTAAATAAATAAAAAAACAACAAAAAAAAAATTCTTCAGTAGCTCAATGTGCCAATATAGAAAATTTTCTGTGGTTTGAAATCCACTGTTGATTAAAAAAGCTTTACTTAGTTTTTTTTTCATCTTACCACTTCTTTTAAATACAAAACACAATAGTTTAAGCAAATAAAAGACTTAAAATTGCTAGAAAATCTTAAAAAGTATATCTTATACATATATTATACACGATCATTACATATACGACCGGCAAACTCAACTTAACCTACTATCATTTAAACTTATAGACTTTAAAATTTTTACATTTGTGTAATATTTAAATTACATTTTTTAAGTTCAATATTATTATATAGGATTATAATCTTTGTTTAAAAAAAATTAATAATTTGTAAAAGTATGTGCAATTACTTATTAAATGTTACTTAGTTAAAACTTTAAATTGTTTTTTTAGCTTGTCTAGATTTAATTAACCGAGCTTTTCAAAGAAATGACAGTTATGTCAAAGGTAAACTATCATACTTTTTTTTGATATCTTTTGATCCATTGATCAAAATAAAGTACTTGTCTATGTTTTCTATAATTTCTTTATTTAACACAAAGACTAAATATTATTTTAAAGGTCATGCATTCAGAGATCAAATTTTTAAAGAGGAACCTCATTTTAAAAATGATTGCCTTGAACTCGAGTAAGTTATTTTATTGTTTTTTTTTTTTTTTAATTTTTGAGTGTTAATTTACCTCCCCAAGGCTGACAAGACCACTACAGACAAGGAGGCTACTTAATTGTGGTTATAACTGTCTCTCAACTCTATAACTCTGAAACTCTTCTATGACCTGTGCTCCAGACAAAATTCCTGTCTTCTATTGTGTGTTTCTATTGACATATAGTGCATTGTTCTTGACATATAAAAAGCTTTTAATAAAATTTGGCATGCTTGTCTTTTCTGTTAACTTGCTACACATGGTGTATCTGAAATTTTTTTGAGATAATTAAATCATTCTTTTCTAACAGCACTATTGAAGTAATCTTTGAAGGCCTACGCTCTTCTTCATTTTCAAACTCTATCCTATTATTGTGTCTTTTTTATATCTTCCTGACAATTTTTCAAAAAGTGACTCTATTTGCTGATGATTACACTTTATACTGCTGTCTTGACAAAAATATTTCACTTTTCGATTGTTACTTAGCTTCTCTTTATTTCACCATTTTCTTACTCTTGGTTCTATATTCTACAAACCTTTTATTTGTCTTTTAATAGAATACTGTTAACATATTCGGGCTAATTTTGCTCTTTCTGTTCTAGACAA